TTCTATCCTATACTTGAGGGTCTCTTGCTCTCCTGAGTGCAGGATGGGTTCATGTGATATTGCTGTCTCTGGTGTCCCCGTAAAGACTGAAAACAGGGCCTCTCTCAAGGGACGGAATATCCTGCTAGGACAGAGGATGACATCAGGGCGTAGTACGCCAATACTGTGATGTGCCCCCAACGTCTCCCCGCCGTACATGCCGTCGTCGTTTCCTGCTACTTGTCAGCTCAGATTAAAATCGCCGAAGTTCCCGGTCCCGAGTACTGGGGCTCCGGCCGGCAGAGGGACTCTCTGAAACCACCAACTTATCACGGCCAATGGGTGCTATGGAGAGAGCCGCACACTAATTCGCAGGACACCCTCTTCTGTGCTAATCTTCTAGCCTGTCCTTCTTGGCAACCTGTTGTTTGCCTTGTTGCCCAGGGTCACCTGGCGGTGATATGCTAACGCGAATCTTTGATCTTGAATCCCATGATGCAGGGTTGCAGTGGACCGGGGTGCGCATGTCACTGGCTGAGACATCGTGGTGAGCGTACCGGAAGTTTTTCTGGTATTAGGCCCCACCCGGATTCCTCGATGCTAAGCTTCTTGTGAACATCTCGTACTGTCTGGTTGGCGTTCATCTTTCCGTTGTTTTCATACTCGTTTCAGAGATTCTGCTGGAGTCAAGGGTCACACGCCGGTTGCAAGTTTGACAAAGTATCCAGGTGGTGAACTCACTCTCAAGAGACTTCGAGGTTGACCACCCCGTTATGCCAATTCTATCCGTCTCTAGCCACCATGGGCGCCGACACAGCCTCCACGGTCAGTGCCTTATCGGTAGATATGTGAGACACTCCTCTACGAGCTGTGGAGTGTTGGTGAAGGACTGCTGTCATGGTTTCACTACTGGTTGGGTCTACGCATCATCCTACTTGTTGAAAAATATCCACTACGCTCATGATCCTCACTGTTCCCGGTTTAGTACGAAAGATCTTCTAGGCTTGGGCCGCCCAATATGCTTAGACAAGCAGACAATAGGGGGGGGGATAAACAAGTCTAAGTCTACGACCATCCAGATTCTTGTGGCGCTCTCAACACTGTCCTCCATCTGCTTGTGGTATTGAGACTCACTTGCCAAATTCACTAGGTCCAGACCTGAGCATGACACTTATACACGCGTGGCGCAATCGTTTGCAGACGTCATTGTCGCCGAGATACTTGCTCCTAGCTTTTACTAGTTCTCGCCGGGGAGGGCAAGGACGCAAGGTCACCCAACGCCATTCAATACCCAAAGTCTGCCCACTACCGAAGGCCTAAATCCGTGAGTGGACGACTAAGGTTCCGATATTGATATATCACCTTGATCGTAAGTATTAATACCTGTTGCTGAGCTGCAAGAAGTGTGACCAAGCATGTGACTCGTCACTGATACAAGTCGTTTCCTTGTGAGGAGCACTAGGGCCACCGTGCTCTTAGGGGTCGGCAGACCATATGCATGTCTCGCCTGGCCGACTACTTCCGGGCGAGACCTACGTCGTGCTTGTCTATTTCCAAGCTGAAGATTCCATCACTCCACCCTTGACGCTTGAGGCACGAATGTTCCGCCGTCTCCGACCACATCTTAGCGTCTTCAAGCTACTTTGAGTGAGATGAGCGATACATGTTACCGACTATTCGGCAGGTACACGCACACACTCATATTCACGAAACGAAACTCACAGTGGCAAGTTCCGAAGATGCCCTCTTGGACGTCTAGTGAGTCATCTGGCCCTGCGCAGTTGTTCTTTTCGCCACATTGTTCGATTCACGTCACCTTTCCCCCCGAGCCTCGCATGGCCTCGTGTTGCTCTCTGCCTTGGCCGCACATCTCTCCACCCTCCAAGCACCTTGTGATCAAGCCTCGGACGATCTGCGGCGACAGTGTTCCTCCTTTTCTGTTTCTTCTCTGGTCTGCCTTGTACCTCTCTGCACGTAGTGTGTTATATCGCAACTGCGATCAGGTCGGCAAGTTGCATCTGCCACTGAGCTGCCAAGCAAGGAAGAGGAATTCACCTGGTGTTCTTGTGCCCTCAGGGCTTGTCTTGGCTTCTTCATGCTCTCTCTTGATAGAGTGCGTACTCATGATCGGAGTGAAACGAATGGAAGCATCGAGATGCAGATAGACGTTGGGGTGTACTACGGTCGATAACTTCTTTCTTGCCATCCGCTATTCGGTTTGACCATAGCCACTCACACTGGCATGGCATAACCTAGTCATCTGGACTGAAGGAGAAGTTTTGAGCTGACTATTTCGAAGTCCCATGCATCTCACCATGTTGTGTAATGCTGCAGACGTCTTGATATGGCATGTCTCAGCTGCAGTGCCCTGTCCTACGACAGTAAGCCTTCTGATACGGGAGATTGGCTGGTTACCCCGTACTATCAGAAGCACCAGGTAACGGTAAAGATCCGCAACTTCCAGGTTAGAAATATCTGTCTCACCCGAGTCCTCACCGGTCATAAGTGATATGCCGCCGAATAAGACAGGAAACTGCTTGTAAGCTGCGAGTTTTTTCTGATGCATTACCTAGTAATGTTTGAGCGATACACCCCGCACTTTTGAAGCCTGCTGCAGGTGGTAGCATCACTTAAGCACATCGTCCAGTGTCCCCGGATCATGCGTGCAGATCTCACATATGCTCCGTTGACTGGAGACGAGCCGTGTTTCAGAAGTCACATCGACTCTCTGTGGACAGGGCGCGCATGGAAACTAGCCTCTCATCGGCCATTTACACTGTTGAGAACTATGAGAACTGAGGATTGAGATTTCGCCGGCATTGATGAGGGATGGCTATGTTTCTAATGAGACCATAATCTATGTCTACTGAGCAAAACTCGTCATGATGCTCGACGACTAGCGGACTATCTTCAATCAGCACGAGGATAATATGCATTTCAATCCTCGAGCATTTGGATGGCAAAACGTTTTATTGTGCACGAGCGCTTTAGTAGAAGTCCAAGGCATGAAATGAGAATTGACCCGGTAGATCTGGAGTATCCGACAATTACCTCAACCACGTTTGAGTTGCCCAAGTGTCGGATCTACACACGGAGCTCACCGGCACGAGCCTACAAGACATGGTCTTTAACACCGTTAGACCGCCCAGCTGCCGAGCCCTGGGCGGCACATCTTGTTTATCTCTGAGTTCATCATCTTCGAATACTCCTAAGCTGTGTCTGGAATACAAGCCAACGATCCGGACAAATCTGGCATCTTCAATCATCGGAATGAGTATAGACACAAGGCAATGTCGACGAAGGTGCGGAGATCGTTGTCGCTCATCAAAGCTGGATACCAGCTGAACGCGATCAACTGGCCGCTAGTCGCGGTCTCGGCGCTGTTTCTTTCTCTGCGAATATTCCTCAAACTCCGTCAGCGGAGGTCGCTATGGTGGGACGACTACGTCCTGATAATATCATGGGTAGGTGTGATAACCGTGGCAGACTCATCCTCCCTCAAAAATCTCGCTGTACTAACAACAGAAATCCTCGAGTTGCAGCTCTCACTCGTCGCCTACTCCATCCTCCTAGCCACAGCCCTCAACCTAGGTTTCGGACATGAACCCTCGGAGATCTCCCCCGGCAACGCCACCGAGATCTTCACCCTCTTCAGCGCCCTGTCGAGCCTCCTCATCCTCGCCAACCTCTGGTCCAAGACCTCCTTCGGCATCACCCTCCTCCGCCTGCCCCTCGGCCGCGCCCGCGTCTGGATCGTCTGCGCCCTGATCGGGCTCGGCACCATCGCCCTCGGCGCCAGCGCCTACACCGTCTGGGTCCAGTGCTTCGTCGCCGATCCGCCCTGGAACCCCTACATCGGCTCCAACTGTCTGCCCTCGGACATCATGGTCAAATACTCCGTCTTCATGGGGTACTTCTCCGCCCTCATCGACTTCGCCTTCGTCGTCCTGCCGTGGAAGATGCTGTGGGGCTTGCAGATGAAGAGGAGCGAGAAGGTGGGCGTCACCCTGGCCATGGGAATGGGGACCCTGGCCGGGGTGGCGGCCATCGCCAAGACGACCGTCTTCCCGCGGGTCTACTCGGCCGACAAGACCGTGGCGCTGCAGGTGAGCGCCTGGGGCGCCTTCGAGACGGCGGTGAGTATCATGGCTGCTTCGATCCCGATCCTCCGAGCGCTGGTCAGGCAGGGGCAGGCCGCGGGCGTGCCCATGGGCTACGAGACCGGTACTGCTGTCACTAATGCCACGATGCGGAGTGTTTTCTTCCAGCGGACGTTCTTCGCCCCTTCGCTGGCGAGTTCGTCTACGCCGGTCCAGCAGCCGCCGGACGAAGCTCTGACGGGGAAGCCGAAGCCTGCAGCAGATGACGAGGAGGCGGCCAGGACGAGTGTCGAGCTGGACAGCTATGGAGCTGAAGCACGGCCTCGCGATTTCACTGTATGAATGACTTGATTATTTTCATGATCTTATATCGAGCAACGGTTTCTTGACAGCGGGCTGGAGCCCTGGACCGAATATGGAGCATATACTGGATTGGAATGGTGCACATTGTGGGAACCTGGGCTTGGACTTCTGTAATTATCTTTGGTCGGTGCAGCGTCATCTGGGATTGGAAAGGTTCGTTCATCAGGATAGGCTCGTTTCACTGTCTTTGAAAGTTAATGTATGTATGTCGTCGAGGCCGGAAAAAAAATATAGCTCTGTCAACTCGATGATATCCCATAGTTTCAATGCATCGCTGCCAATCGCATCCTTATCGCCCGCGGCAGCACTTGACTTTTGCTCCTGCGAGATCAGTGATAGACCAGCCCCTGGATCTTCCTGCACCGTTTACTAGATTCAGCTTGTCTTACAGGTGATCCTGGCTCGAGTCCAAAATCCCACGAACTCCACCACCCTAATCAACCGATAAAGCATCGCCCAAGAAAGAGAGCGAAAAAACCCTCCACCCGACATGACTCGCGCGAAAATGCACAAGCCGGAATTGAGAACCCCTTCAAGCACCCTCCCCATCCAACCAGCGGGGATGTAGCTCATCTGGTAGAGCGCGTGCTTAGCATCCGGCTGATGAGCGACCTCATCAGCCCCCGACATGTTCATGCACGAGGTACTGGGTTCGACTCCCAGCTTCTCCACGCTTTCACTTTTTGCCCCGTTTCCTCCTTTTTTGCTGCTTTTTTTCCCCCGTGAGTCCGGATCAGCCTCTACACCTGCACATCTCCGAGGACCCGGCCACGTGCTCCACGTAGCCGAGGCACATGTAGCACTTGCGCGGCTCCTTGTAGGGGGCTCGCGGGCTGAAATAGTGCGAGTAGCTCTTTGTGGTGCTGATTATGGTCGGGTTGAAGTCGGCTTCCGGGGCAGGGTGGTAGACGCCGTCGGCTGAGGCTGATGCGAAGGGGTCGATGCTTGTCGTCGAGAAGTGCGATGCTGTTCCTGGGTGGTTCAGAACGGCGGATGCGGATGCGGACTTTGGGGCAGCTGGTCTGCCGACTGGTAGCGCGATGTGCTCGGTGCGAGTCTGAGCTGTGGGAGAAGGTCCTGATGAGCCCGGCGCTTGTGGAGAAGCAGGTGCTGATGCAGCGTCTGGCGGACTCGCGGAAGTCGGTGTGGCAGACGGCTGAGTGGCAGATGTCGGAGACTGAGGCGGAGAGACGGACGACAGAGGAGCCTGAGAGTGTACAGAATCTAATACAGGAGAATGTAACGGGGAACGAGGCGGGGGAGTTGTTGGCGTAGTCAGCGTTGATGTCTGCTTTGATTGCGAGTCTATGGCCGGCGGAGAGTCAACGGATGTGAGGTTTCCATGGATACACTTCGGCGACGAGGCCGTAACCTGATCCGCGCTTAATGTAGCCGCAATGCGTATTTTCCCATCATCACCTCCTGATACTATGCAGTTACAGACCTGGCAAGATGCAACAGATGATGTACGGCCGATAGCCCGGGACAAGCGCTTATAAGTGTTGCTCAGCCCTAACAACCAGATCCCGGTGGAAGACGCAGCTGCCAAGAAGCTCTCGTCATTCACAAAAGCCAGAGAAGTGACCGCAGCAGGGCTAAGTTCATAGGTCATTGACGGTTTCCATGAGCGTGAAGCAGGAAGCCACACCCGAACTCGTCCCGTTGCCGAGCCCGTTGCCACCGATCCGTTTTTCGGAGAAATTGCGATACATGAGATCGCCTCTCCGTGGTCCATACGTTGCCAATTGAGAGTGAGATGGTCCCTGTCGCGAAAGATGATTTGTCCGACATTCGAGGTGTAGCCTAGTCCATCTGTAGGCGAGAAAAACACGTTGTGATGACGTCCTTTGACCTCGGCCACTGTGTGTATGGTGTGAGATGGCAGATTCCAGACATAGATGTGGTCCTCAGCACCACAAGCGAGCAGAGAACCATCTGGCGAGAACGCAACAGAGTTAACCGGCTCGAACAAGTTATGCGTCTTCTGCGGCTTGCTGTTGCTGTCATCCTGACTGGCCGTGGCCCTGTTGAGATCCCAGATCTTGATGGATCTATCCACGGCCACGGCGACAAGTCCGTTCCGGTTTGACATTGCGAGACCTGTCACAGTTTTGCAGTCAAGAGCAAAACTGCGCAGGGGCTTTCTCGATACGCCATCCCATATACACAAAGTTTTGTCTGTGGAAACTGATGCTATGAGCTTGCCGTCTCTGGAGACGCCGACGTGTTGGACTGGCCCAGTATGGCCTTCAAGAATTATCGGTGGCATTTCTGGTAGCGGCATGACACTCTGTTTCTTTTCGTCCAAGGTCTTATCTGTGTGGTTGCTTGGGCTGGTAGTTTGTTCGTCCTGGTGAGCTTGTCTACTGGTAGAGGGTTCGTCATCTGCGCCAGCTGTTGCGTTTGACTTGTGTTCATTCACAGGAGTCTCAGTGTTGATTTTACTGGGTTTGGTGATCTCGTCGCGTTGCTCAAGAGAGTTTTCACTTCGTGTGCCAGTCTGTTCAAGGTGCTGCACTGCGTTCACAAGGAAGGCGCCCTGACTTGCACCTTCCGTAGCAGTAGCCACACTTTTCCCAGCGCGTAGTTTGGAGTTTGGACCTTTGAGCACTGCTCTGGCTCTTTTGAGCCAATTGTCTGGCTTGGACGCCATGACTTTCGGTTTTGACATTCGCATCGACTACCAGATACGTTCGCGAAGGGGAAATCAGAGGCATTCTTTGCTCGTTTGATGCTAGTTCACCCTCAAGGTCAACAGTATCCGCGAAGTCGGAACAAGTTAGGCCGATCTGACATTTGCTTAGACGAGCTTAATTGGACCTCAAGACATTTGTAGGTTCAAGACTGTCGTGTGTGTCCTCAAGATAGTAATGGATTGGATTTTGAGGGGACACAAGTCTTAAAGTTGATCTTCGATCTGAGAAGTGAACGGATTTGGGGATGGAGGTTTGCTTCTTGCGCAGGGAAGCAACAGCACTCGGATGGTTATGACTGCTTTTCGGGGTAGAGGTAATTATTTGCCTCTCGCCTTACAACGTCTCTAGGACAGGAAGATCCGACGCCACGGATTCCGTTCATTTCATCTTGTTGCACCGACAACCTCAAGACGAGTCACCCAGAAGACTGTGCATATGAGATCAGAGGTGTCTAAACACTCACTCCGAATGCATGCTTCACCTACCAAATGAGATCGGGATACCAAGACCCTCTATGCAGTTTATCTCGATAGGGTTGCGACACACACCATGCAGCTTGGTGGATATTCTAAGCTGGGCCCGTCGCGATGCGTACGGAAGGATTGTTGCCGTTTGGATACCCCGCGAAAGGGACCTATTACCTTCATCTGCGGTCTGATAACAGCTTCATAACCACAATTTGAGGGTGCGGCCAGGATTGCCTTCCTTGCGCCAGAATTGCATGATAACAAGCACCCCACGCCGCTGCCTAGAGGTAACTGTGAGCAAAGTACGGCAAATATTCAACCAGTATAAAGTCCTTATTTCGAACCACTTTCTATCACGGATTCAAGGGTCAGACTCATCAAGCACTTTCGAAAACACCAAGTCTAAGCTTATCAACCCAGACAGGATGTCGATGCCACCAGACTGCTGTCTCAAGGGCTTTGCCTGGAAGGGCACCCCGACCGGCACGGAGACCAAGGTGAACACCAACGACACCTACGTGGCCGGCTCAAACCCAAAAGTCGCCCTGGTCGTGATTCACGACCTCTTCGGCTGGAAGTGGGGTAACCTCCGCCTCCTAGCCGACCATTACGCCGCCGAGGCCGACGCAACAGTATACGTGCCCGACTTCTTCGGCGGCGGATCCTTGCCGTCAGATCTCATCCTCGCGGGCCGCTGGGCGGACCTCGACCTGCCGAATTTCATGGGCAGGAACTCGAAGGATATCCGGGAGCCAGAGATGGTGGCATTCATCAAGACGCTGAGGGCGCAAGGCGTCGAGAAGGTGGGCGCGATAGGCTACTGCTACGGCGGATGGGCTGTGTTCCGTCTGGCGGGTGCGGAGCACGACGGGAGGAAGCTGGTGGATTGTGTGACGGCCGGCCACCCGAGTAGGCTCACGGAGGAGGAGATCGACGGGGTCAGGCCCGATGTCGCGGTGCAGCTTCTAGCGCCCGAGCATGACTTGCAGTACACAGCGGAGCTAAAGACGCATACTTTTGTCACGTTGCAGAAGCTGGGGGCTCCGTTTGACTACCAGCATTTTCCCGGGGTTGAACACTCGTGCTTTACTAGGGGAGACGAGAATGTGGCTGGAGACAGGGAGGCGTTGGTCAGAGGCAAGAATGCCGCTGTTGCCTGGGCGAGGCAGTGGCTGCACGAGGTGTAGGATCCCAGTGGGCTGAGAATTTTTATTATTGCTTGTTTTAGCTAATATCCAGCAAGCTTACAGCTTACTGCTGATATCATAGCTTTGTACGAAATCTTTATGGCCATCCAGTACTATTTATGACTGTATTCTTCCAAGACAGAGACATACTCCGTTTACAATAAGCCCGGAAAAAGAGAAAGAAAAAAAGAAATCGTGACTCAATAAACAGAAATTCAAAGTAAGTATATACAACAGGAGAACGTTAATCCAAGCTGGCAAACAACATGAGAAAGAGAGTGGGTATCAGGACACCAAGGGGCGTCAAGCACTCTAGGAGTGCGCTTAGTTGGGCTGCTTGGGATCACGATCGCAGGCAGTGCCGATGCAGCAGGTGAAACGGCCGCTCTGGCAGACACCGAAGCCGTTGGCTTTGTGGTCGTTGACGTAGGTGTAGGCTCCTCCCTGGCAAGGCTTGGAGAATGGAGTGGCCCCTGTGGCCGTCTAATCGGAGCGAAGAGGGTTCTTGCAGCTGCCTTTGCCATTGTCGTTCTGGGAGATGAGTGAGTAAGTTTGACAAGAAGTCCAGAGCTAGCGCTGTCCTTACCGGGCAAGAGTTCAGGCCCCAGAGATTCTTGTTGCAGCCAGTGACACACCAGCTCCTTCACAGGAGCAGACGATGGGGATGGAGAAACCGTTGCTGTGATCATGTATGGTCAGAGCCTGCTGTCGTTGCAGGACTTTAATTGACGTGTACTCACACATAACTGACATCAACATCAGCAGCAGCGACCGAATATCCGTCCGGCTTCTTGAAGTTGGCCTCAATGAGACTCTCATCTCCCACCACACCTCGCGGGCCGCCATACTCCGCCACGGCAATATTACCTGCCCAACCGGTAGGGAGGGCAAGGCTGGCCGTGGCACCTTTCGCCATGGTGCCAGAGCCAGCACTGCCCTTGACGGCCGTGGGACCGCCTGCCTCATGAGCATGGTAGGTGCTTACCTGGGTGACGTGCTTGTTAATCACGGTAATGGTCATCATCAGAGGAGAATTGGCGATGGCTGCGGCGTCGGCATAGAACGGTGCTGCAGTTAAGGCCGCCGCCGCCCCGCCACCTGAGGTGGGAGTGAAGACCGCCTCATCACCAACCTTGAAGATATCTTGGGCGGTTTGGACGGTTTGGACAATTGGAGTAGGCAGCGGGTTGGCGAAAGCCGGGGATGGGAGAAAAAGGTTCAGGACGACACCTCCAACAATGTTGCGGAAAGAATGCATTGTATTGAGCTGTGATATAAAAAAGTGTATATACAACAAGAAAGAATTTGAGCAGATGCTGGT